AGTTCTCCCTCGACACACCGAACACCTGGAAAACAGTGGTAGAAGTTCCCCCTCGACACGCCGAACACCCGGAAAACAGTGGTTGAAGTTCCCCCTCGACATCCCGTAGTTCAAGGGTCATAATTCTGTAATTCTGTGGTATCTGGGGTCGACCAAATTGGACCCTGCACGACTAATTGGCGCAAGCCCGGACGCTATATACACCGTTCTTGGCAAAGATTACGCCGCTTATTCCAGCAATATCACGGCAGGGGACATCAGAAATAAGCTTCACTCATTGTACCTATGTTGGGATTCGAACCCAGGTCTTCGGCGTGAACGCTTTAACCACTAGGCTACCCCACCGCCCCTTCTGAAATATTGTTAAAAGGCGTAAAAACCATTAAAACAAACAATGTAATGCTTGTGTTGTTTTTTTTGTTTGTGTTTTTGTTGTTTAACACCGCACTCAGCAATACTCCAGCTATATGACGGCGGTGTGTAAATAATCGAGTCTGGACCAGACAATCCATTGATTGACATTATGAGCATCGATCCACGCAATTGGGATACGATAATATGCATCAACCAAGTCAGCGAGCCTGACCACCCGATCCAGTTAGTCGCCCCTTACAAGCACAGTCACCTTTTACAGCAAGCATGGGTTGCTGAAGGCCTATTCTACCCCGGATCTTCACTGTATGTTTTCTGCCTGGGGAATATAGGATATTGTTTAGGACAAGGGGTCCTCCAACATCGCTAGTCTCTCATTAATCTTTCATTTCCCAACTCGACGGATGAACCTAAGCCGATGATACAACGATATCCAGTAAGCCGATGCTACAACGATATCCAGTAAGCCGATGATACAACGATATCCAGTAAGCCGATGCTACAACGATATCCAGTAAGCCGATGATACAACGATATCCAGTAAGCTGATGATACAACGATATCCAGTAAGCCGATGATACAACGATATCCAGTAAGACGATGATACAACGATATCCATTACGGGTGAAACAAACCAGCCTCGGCCAGGACTGAGCTGTCAGTTTGACACAAATATTTGTACGACGCAATTCGTGTTATAGAATTGTTTTTGTTCAGACTAGCTATTTTTTCAATATTGGTTTTAAAGAATCTGGTATCACGGCTTGAGCTCCACAGACAGGTTTGCTGACGTTGCAGCAAACTCGATAAACAAGTAATGAAGTAAACAAGTTTTGTGTGAAAACATAGTTTAAATACTTTGTAAAATATCACAATAACAAGTTCATATGTTGTTGTTTTCTAAATTCGCTAACCATTCGGTAAAACTTAATAATTTTACTTAACATAGTCCATGATATTGATTAATAAAATAGTGTATCAAACATTTTATATTTATTGTTCACAAATTCGATACACAACGCGGGAAACGAATATTTTATTTGCAGATTATTTTGATTACACTCCCGCAATTAACTGTCTTTATTTACCTGCCATGCAAGGTGCACAGTCGGATATCAAGATATTCAGTGGCACCTTAAATAATCGTCCATGATTCAATTCTTTTTTTAAGTCGTTAAGTACACAGATACATATACATAAGAAAAAAAAGAAGTAGAAAAAATATTTTAATTATGTGTCACATGTTGGTTGTGTACACATTAGACATAAAAACTTGCATAAAATGCATACATAAAAGGCCTATGAGACACAATGAACAATGAAAAACATTATATATATATCATAGAATTATAACTTACAAGATTACAATTTTAAATAATATAATGTTGCCTACGTGCAAACATTTTTGAAATAAGTGCGGCAAGAGGTTTTATATACGTGTTACAGTTCATTAAGAACACTGTCTGCTCCACAGGAGAGAATGAAATAAATATAGGATCAGACTTTATAATTCTCAAACATAAATCATATCTTAAGTCAGAATATAATGGACAGTTATTGAGAAAATGTATCTCATCTTCTACAGCTTTGTTATTACATAATTTACAAATTCTATCCTGTAAAGGCGTGATAGGTTCAGCAAATCTACCAAATTCAACTTGTAAGGGTAATGTGCCGCAGCGTAACTTGCTTAAGATACTACGATGAGAACTGTTCATAATACATGTAACATAGGATTCAGCAGACAGCGAGTGTTTGAATAATCGATATGTACGAAGCTTATTTCCATTTTGTAAACCTCTATCATTCCACAATTCTGAATACCAATTATGCTCATCTAACGGTAATAACTTATATTTTAAACGGGTAGAATCTAATTTGGTTAAATGCAGACCATCAGAGACAGTTAGATCTAAAGTATTAAGCAAAGCCAAAACATTGTTTACCCAGGATTTACGGAATTTTGTAGACCATTTTCTAATCCAACAAAGAAGTCGATTGGGATCGACCGCTTGAATTCGCCGCCAAAAACGAAACGTTTCAATATGCTGTTTTGTAAGTGGGCTCGTCCACCCCATTTCGCCACAGACTGATAAATTAGGAGTTTGGTTATTAACCGCAAGGAAGAAACGAGCAGCTCTGTTTTGAACAGAATTAATACAGCTGAATTGCTTGAGGCCCCAGATAGCCGAACCGTACGAAAGTATAGGCTGAGCAAGATTATCATACAGTTTATTAAAAACTGAAAATGATATACCACCCGGTAACTTATATTTACAGATAAGAGCACCAAGAGCTCTATTTGCTGATGTTGCCAATTCCTTAACAGAATAAGTGATATCCTAATGCTCATGAAGCCAAAATACTAAATATTTCCAGGCGTTAATAATGTCAGTGTGAGAAGAGCCAATAGTAAAGATAAATTCCGATCTTTAAACAGATGGGGGCCTGAAATGAACAACCTTACTTTTTTTCACATTTACTTTTAAACGCCATTGTGCTGCCCAGCGAGAGATAGTCTAACATGCGCTGTAAGAAATTTCGTCTGGAGCAATCAAAGCTACGTCGTCCGCGTAGAGTAAAATACTTAACATATTATCGTCCACCTGAATACCACATTTAAGTTTATTAATTTCCTCTGCGAGATCGTTAATAAATACCGAAAACAATGTCGGAGATAACACACATCCTTGTCTAACTCCAGAGTGAATGAGTGAGTATGGTTTTACGCCGCTTTTAGCAATATTCCAGCAATATCACGGCGGGGGACACCAGAAATGGGCTTCACACATGTCGGGAATCGAACCCGGGTCTTCGGCGTGACGAGCGAACGCTTTAACCACGAGGCTACCCGACTCCCCCCACCCCCCCCCCCCCCCCCCGACATTAAAGAAATACCTCGATAACTTAACGGATCGCGTGGATTGGTATCTGTTTTTTTAATCGGGTTAAAAATGCAAGTGCGCCAAGTTTCTGGACATGTATTGTTTTCAAAGCAAAAAGTAAAAATACTTAAAAGAATGTTGGTGCAAGTGCTGTTCCTGAGCGCCTCAACTGGGAGTAGGTCAAGGCCGACTGCCTTTCCACGTTTTGCACGTGCAATAGCTCGCTCGGGTTCCGCACGTGTAATTGGAAGATCCAGGTCAGTAGTATCAAGTATCCAGTCATTTATAACCCTGTTGTTTGCGATCTCATTTTAAACCGAACTCAAATGGTTATCATCCAAATCCAAGGAAGAGCTCTCCACAAATAAGGACAAATAATCGCTTTGCCATTTATTCAAAACCGTGGTTTTCTAAAAATAATACACTACCGTCGCAATACCAAACCTACCTATAGTCTTCCACAATCTACGCGCGTTGCCTTGATTATAATTGTCCAATAAACGTTGCTGTTCAGCTTATTGATACGAACGTTTATGTCCACTAGAATTGTGTCAAAATATTTATGTTCCTGAGCAAAATTGTGCTTCAAAACTTTCTTTCGGACAGATGTACATTTAAGATAGCATTTTTCAGTTTCGCATGCTTTGTCCCATTGCTGTTAGAGCTCTAAACACCAGTGAGGTTGACGAACCGATTAAGATTTGTAAATAGATTTTTTTCAGAAGTGAAAGCAACACTGTCTAATTCTGAATACATAATCGACCAGAGAATATGTAAATTATGTAACCTAAATAAGATAGAAGATGAGAAACACTCCCTTTTGTACTGTCCAAATTATCAGAACGAAAGGCAGATACTTCTTCGAACACTAGACCTCCAAATCTGCCAAAATGATAATAAAATCCTAGCAAATATCCTGAACCCCTGTCCTGAAAGTGCAAAATATGTTTCACAAACTATCTCCGACATGTTTATTAAAAGAACCTCTCTTATAGACAACATCAAGATATGACCTTATGATTAGTATGTCTTATCTGTACAGTATCACCATCATTAAATTAAGTACACGCTGCCAGCCACCTCATGATATATATATATATAAATGTTTATACACTATGAATGAAATAATATGTAATATTTATATATATAATGTACATTATGTATATATACCTCTCATGTTGATAGTTATATTTAATCTATATGCAGTTAGTTTGTACCCTGCCCTACGAGGGTGTTCCGTACAATAAAAAATTCTTGATTCTTGAATTCTAAATGATACAAAATCTTCATAACCTGTATTACTTCACGGGTAGTAGCATAGGGTCAGCAGCGCGTGTAATCTGTGTGTGAAAGCTTGACAACCCATTGCTCTGAACAACGCTATCAACCCCAACCCCCCCCCCCCCCTCCCTTGATCCCGCAGGGACACACGGCCGCCTTGCCTCTGTGTCTCTCACCCCCTCAGTCTGTGTAGACGGTCAGGCCGATTGTCCACGTTTTCACCCGAGGCGAAACAACAGCGCCACAATTAGTGTGAAGAAACTCAACAACAACGGCCAGTACTTGCGGAAAGGTCGCAATCGACTTTCGTTATGGCGAAACATTCTCCTAAATAATCTCTTATACACTTTACAGTGAAGATCACACACAGAGGCTGAACTTCCGTCAGTCAAGCGAGTAGCAAGCGCCAGCCAATCATAGTTCGTGGAAGATCCACGTGACATTGTGAATAAACATCCTATGTAAGGCGGTTATATTTAGCACACACACACAGGTAGCTGGCACTTAGCGAGGTAAAATGACGGCCATAAGGAGAGGGACAGTTGACGGTGCGGGCACATAAATGTTTGACAGACGGGTGAGAAGTCATCAAGATACATATCCCTCCATTGGGACTGAGATCAGTGGGACAGTCAGCGACCTGGGAGTACCGCGAGGTAGCTACAAGTTGGACTGACGACATTGTCAGCGGTTCATTGATCAGCGACAAGCCGGACATACCTGAGCGAGATGTTGTGAGAGTGAGAGTGAGATTGTGTCACTTATCAAGTATACGGACGATCAGACCCACTCATGATGAGTATATTCGGTTGGAGGAAGAGTTTGGCGATCAGCGAGTCGGACCCGACTTACAAGGTACGGTATCTGGGGAACGTTCAAACGGCCATGATGAAAGGCGACGGTTGTGTGGACAAGCCCGTGTCAATAATATGGAACAACTACATGCGGAGTTCCCACCCTGGCCTCGAGATGAAGCTCGTCGTCACAGGCTCCGGACTCAAGGCGTACACGAAGGAGCAAGGACTCACGGAGTACCGAGCACACAGGATCTCGTACTGCATCGCTCATCCTCAGTACCCGAGGGTGTTCGTCTGGGTGTACAGACACGAGGGGAAGAAGATGAAAATGGAGCTGCGTTGTCATGCTGTGCTGTGTAAAACTGAACTGAAGGCTAAGTCCATGGCACTCCAGCTTCACGAAAAACTCTCCTTCGCCCTTAAAGAGTTTCAGAGAGACAAAGTTCGGAAACAGAACTCCCGACTTGTGTTGCAAAGAACCAATTCCCTGCCCAAAGCGGGATCTGTTCTCCCTTTGAGGAAACAGATGTTAAGCACAGCTACAAACTTCAAACCCCCCGTGAGTAAGTCAAACACCGCTCCCAAACTTGGCGCTATAACGGAGGACTTCGAGGAGTGTGAACACGAGGAGTTTTGTGTGTGTGAGGACTTGGGGGAGTGCGACGAGAACGACAACCTGGAGAGTGCCAGTGAGATGGTGGCGGCGTTGACGCTCCACTCCGACACAGCCTCCCTCCATACACTCAACCCCGAGTGCCTTACAGACCGCATCATTGACGTCGAGATCGGCAACGACATCGACGAACTTCGTCAGAATGAGGAAATTAAATTATGTCACGGAAACACGGACTCCGATGAAGAAAGTGCGGAGTCTGGGTTTCACGACCAGGATCAGGACCCGAGGGAGGGGTTGGGACTTGTGGAGGAGGGGGAGGGAAGCGTCTGTGAGCTACCCTGTGGGGACACGCCAGAAGACGATGGGGATAGCACCAACTTATAATGGATACAGAGGTAAGCAATCAGGATTTATATCTTGTGCTCCTTCTGAACGAAACACTTATGTCACATCGCAGATATGTCACCAAATATTTTAATACCCACTGCTCATATCAGGGCTAGTTGCACGGTGATTACAGGAAGGTTGCACGGTCATTTCATGGAAGTTGCACGGTCGTTAATGGAAATTGCACGGTCGTTAATGGAAATTGCACGGTCGTTAATGGAAGTTGCACGGTCGTTTCATGGAAGTTACACGGTCGTTTCATGGAAGTTGCACGGTCGTTTCATGGAAGTTGCACGGTTGTTACGTGGAAGTGCACGGACACATACATTGTAGCTGCTGTCAATGGCCTTGTGAATGGATGCTCACAATGTTGACCACTGTCCTGACTCCATGACACGCAGACCGATGTGGACACAAAGGCGGTGACGTCCCCTGCCGTTCAGCTGCAGGTCCTACAGTGAATGTGACTTACAAGACACAGTGACTTACAATAACTGCCCCCTCCCCCCCCCCCCCCCCCCTCCCACTCCTAGCTCCACACCCTATCCCCCTGGACAACGGGCGCGGTTCCCGAGTTGTGTGTGTGACCTGTGTTTTCATCTTGCTCGGATGATGGGATAGGTGCTCATACTATCAACCACCGGTTGGATTACGACCCCTGTGATGCGGTTGATGTATTGCCGACTGGGACGTACAGGAACATTCCTAGACTTTACTTCCGTGTTGACACTGCTCTTTACTAATCAAATAATATCGACATCGGTAGCATAGCTGTAATTTATCACACCGCAATCGCCATGTAATTATATCTGTAAATAAACAAGTCGAATGTGATACTACTTGTAATATTTGAAATATGTTTAGGCATCTACACTGCCTAAGTCGGCACATGTATTCAGTTTCAATTCAGTAACAATTTCCTTGTAACCAGGCAAGACTTAGATTAGTCATGATTATATATATCGTGTTAAACATGAATGATTTGTGAATGTGTCAACAGAGATAGCGACCTTCCCACATTCAACAGTAGTTTAGGCCTGATTGCCGGTGAATCATATCAATACGGTGTTGTTGCATGTGTTGTGTAGCTGTCTATTGAAATAGAAATGGCTATTTCCTGATGAATAGTCATTTCCCGCAAAGGTCTTTATCTGCTTGTTGCAATATTCAGGATTTATACTTCCTCAACCGGATAATTGTATGGCACCCTCTTTGCACTTGCAATCTGTCTGAGTAACTGTATACAGACTAATGTAAGCTGAGACCTTTGGCAGCTCTCTCATTGCACAGGGGGAGTTAGATTTATGGTTTGATGCGAGGCTAAGCGTTGTAAGAGAGCCGTCTTTGGGGCGATGTATTGTGAACAAGATTGGTGGTGCACGCTCACCTTCACGTGGAACGGGCTGTGGCAATGGTGGCGTGCGATAAGTGCCGATATTTGCTTCTGTGCTAGTCACGTGATACTGCGAGTATCGTATCGGCAGGTCATGTATCGATGTTAAAGTATGTGTAAGGGTAGCTTGTAAATTGTAGTAATATTTATTGTGAGACTTTTTTCTGCTCGTATGTGACATTGTGTCAAGACAATGTTTATCAAAGTGCTCAGTCTACTTATTGTTGCCACTGTTGACTACTGTTCACAGCCTTTGATGGTGGATATGTTTCCTGAACGTGCCGTGTGTCGACCTGTCATATTTCCTGTATCGTCCTGTCATATTTCCTGTATCGTATCACGGCCTTATAATGAAGATACATCGTATCAAGGCATTACAATGAAGATACATCGTATCAAGGCCTTACAATGAATATATATCGTATCACGGCCTTAAAATGAAGATATATCGTATCACGGCCTTACAATGAAGATGTTCCGTATCACGGCCTTAAAATGAATGTATATCGTATCACGGCCTTACAATCCAGATACATGTTGGTATATGTTGCCCATGCTATCAACCACTGGTTTACTCGACCAAGACTCGATCGTCCACTGCCGCCGTAGTAAAGCTGACAAAAAATGCTTCCTGCTGACAAAAATATTGATTCACCCACACATAAACAATTACTGATTTTGTGAAATAGTTTGTATAAATGTATAAAATCATAGCCGCCATATTATGTCTTTCAGTGTAAACGTATTTGTGCTCGACCTGTAGATGCAGCCACGCATTTTCTGGTAGTCATCCTGTGGGTAAATAGTGCTTGTGTGGGGCTGGATGTTAAACAAATACATCAGCTGAGCGATCCTAGACCGTTTCCTTTCATACACTCCGCCCCATCATGGCTACAGTGTGTGGAGGCCATATCTGGTGCCCCCCGCCGCGACACTGCCGCGATATTGCTTACAAGCGGCGTAAAACAACACTCACTCACTAATATACTCCGCCGCGCACTTGTTTCTACCTACATAAACACGTACGACCCAGTCGTCTTTCACCACCGTTCACAGTTTAGAGTTACATCCCCTTGGAGTGCCAGGATCTTATATTTATAGGATCGCGTGTTCGAATCCTATTTTATCTCTGATTCTGTCCTTGGTTTGTCTGCACCATGATTGTGGGTTTCACTAAAGTGGTACATGTCTAAGGTCTGCTTTCCCGTCATATAAAGTTGACGCGCTGTGGTGTGACTGAAACATGGCGCTGTGCAGAGTTGCGTCCCTTGCGCACGCCATAAACCTATGATTGCGGGTTCGAATCCCGGTTCGCCCCGATTATGTTTCTAGGTTTGTCAGCACCATACCCGTGCTCGTGGGTTTTACCAAAGTGGTAAACGTGTGAGACCTGCATCACTTCGGGATTTCCTCCCAAATTAAGCTGACACGCCGTGATATAACGGAAACAATGTTAAGAGCGGCGTTAAACCCAACTCACTCACTCACTGAAACATGGACTCGTTAATTACCTTAATCACCCTACACGCTATGCATTCTGGGAGAACCTCTTGTAAGGAAGATTTATGACATATCGCGTACTTGTTCAGTGTGGACATTGCGGAAAAAGTTTTGACTCTTTAGGTATTCTCGTGTATGGAGTTGAAGATACATATTTTCATGTTGGCGTCTTAATAACCTATTTTGAAATCTGTTGTAAGTCACACGACTGCATGAAGCTTGTGACTCTTATCGTGCAACCGAAAGTGCGGTTGCCCTGGCTGCATGCAACCTGTTCATGCTGGAACCATTTGAATAAATGTCGGTGATCAAATCGAGACTAAATCATGTGTTAAACTAGCCAGTAATTTGTTTGCCTGAACTTACGCCCTGGGGGTGACCTTGAGACAACGTGTAGCCATATAATCTGGGTGTGCAATCTGGGCGTGCCGCCGTGAGTATAATAATGATTGTTTATGTCAATGTATCCTAATTACCTACACGTATTGGTGCCTTTGATGGGCGAAATCTAAACAATGGTTGATATAACGGTATCCGCTTTTGGTGACACCAACCTATATTTAGCTCATGTGATCTATACAGAGTTATGCCTCTTAGCCGGGACAGGATCCACTGATCGAAAGTCCGAATCTTAGATCATCGTCAATGGTCTGTTCTGACCTAATTAGCGGTGTATGTTTGTATTCTGGCGGGTGTCTGCTTCTGGGGTCATTGGAACGTGACCTTGGTCTACACGGGGCTCCTCGTTGAGGGGAAATGAGATGCGGAAACTGTCACAGTTTTATGTTTACGTTAGCAAGTTTTAATAAAATACGACCACACCGAACCAAGATGTCGTCGTTATGTCGTATGTCTTCTGTCTGCCATGACATCCAGTGTACCACACGTGTAGTTTATCATTTCGAAAGTTTAATGTTGCTTTTAGAGCCCCGGACGTCAAGGACGGCAACATCCCTGGCGGCAGACGCCATTGTGGCACGCGGTATGTCGACGAGGGGGAATTGTTGATGAAGGGAGTTTATGGCGTCATTCGATCTCACCCGTCGACTGACGAGTCATTGTGATCTCCCCCCTCAGATTCTGATGACTAACGGTCGGTCGGACGGTCGTTCGTTCGTTCGTGAGTGAGTGGGCGACTATGCTTGTCGTAAGCGGCGACTAACGGGATCGGGTGGACAGGCTCGCTGACATGGTTGATACGTGTCATCATATCCCAGTTGCGTGGATCGATGCTCCGGATGTCATTCAATGGATTGTCTGGTCCAGACTCGATTGATTTACAGACCGCCGTCATATAGCTGGAATATTGATGTGTGTGGCGTTAAACAAAAAACAACAACAAACAGTGAGTGAGTGAGTGAGCAATAATACACGTTAATATTACATGAGCTTCAAACTGTTACAACGTGGCGAACCCGGCTTAGCGTAGTGACGAACGAACACTTCAACCATTTGGCTAACAAACTTCGTTTTCAACATGCCTTGGAGGTGGGAGAAGGGAATGTGCGTGTGCGAGTGTTTCGCGGGTCGGTGTGTGTGTGTGTGTGTGTGTGTGTGTGTGTGTGTGTGTGTGTGTGTGTGTGTGGGGGGGTGATGTAGTGGCGGATGTGCACACGAGTCGTAGTAGTAATTTAGGACCAGGCAAGTACGGGGGTCAGCGAGCTGCGATGTATGTATTCTATGGGGTAGAATATTCACTGACGGTTTAATGTGTAACTTTAAAAGGGGTGGGAGGTCCTGATAGGCCACGTGGTGCAAACCAACTCTCTTCTTCAGAAAGTAAATGTTGTATTGAAACGTAATAGGTAGACGTGCTGTTACATTGAAACATGTCCATGCTGAAATCTGTATTGTTATTTTAGACTCAAGGCAAATGTAATGCAAAAGCATTTATCGCGGATGTAGTGTGAGGCTCTATCAACAGTTATTCAAACCTTGCATGAGATGCATGTTCACAACATACATGTAGACTAATATATCTGCATGGAACGCGGAGCGGCAGTGTGAACAACAAAACAGGTGATTTGAGGTATTGAATTATTCAACAACACATTCAGGTCACAGTGTTCGGCGACGTTGTTAAACTTTGTCACTCGAGCGTTTGTTTCCTTGGCT